CTCCTAATGCACCCCAGGAGACCATTGGCCTTCTTGGCAGCCAGGGCACGCTGCTGGCTCATGGTCAACCTGTCGTCCCCCAGAACACCCAGGTCCCTCTCCGCAGAGCTGCTCTCCATCAGGTCCGCCCCAGCCTGTACTGGTGCCTGGGGTTGTTCCTCCCCAGGTGCAGGATCCTGCGCTTGCCCGTGTTGAACCTCATCAGGTTCATCACCCCGCTCTCAAATTTGTGACAGGATCGGGGGTGCTTGCTTGGCTGGTGCCATCTCGTTTCCCTGCACCTACTGGGGAGCTCGGGGTCTGGGGCAGAGCTAGGGCCACATGGGCAGCACCCAGCAGCGCTGGGTCCTGCTCCCTCCTGTCCCACCTCCTCAGCTCTGGCAGTGTCCTGTTGCAGCATCCTTGAGGAAGAGCAAAACTCACCTTTTAGGTCTCCTGAGTAATGCAGTACATTTTGTTGTCTCCCTGGCAGATGCTGAGATGGAAACCACCCCAGTTGCTACTCCTGTGTCCAGAGGCACTTCCCTGTCCTGCGACACCTCTGTGAAGCCTCCGGTACAAGAGAGCAAACTGCCCGAGGGGGAGATGGCCAGCAGCACCCTCTCCATGCTGACGAAGGAGAAAGTAGGTGACGTTTCCCCTTGCCACTTGCATTTCATTCTTGCAAACTCCCCCTGGCCAGGAGATTTTCTGCTGCAGTGTAAGATTTTGAGCTGGTGGCAAGTTTATTCAGGGCTTTTTTTTCCCCCATTGCATTCATGTCCCCGTCAGGATGCTGTATTTTGGAGCATGGGAGAAGGGAGCCAAGGTTTGGTGGGCTTTGACTCCTTATTTCCCCTCCTTGACTTGCCAGTCAGTCTCCTCGCTTCCAGGTGCCTGTTTCCACCCCTCTCCTCGCTGCTTGTCTCCCTTCCTTCTCTCATCTTTCCTGAATCCCAAAGGCTCCCCCGAGCCCCAACATCTCCCTGCCCCGCTCACTCTCCCAGCGCTGGGAGTTGCCTGTGACCCGACCTCGCTGTTAGTGGCTGGAGATGTGGTGGCTGAGCACTGAAATAGGCTTGTCACGTGGCGTAGGTGCCCGAGACCAGGCCAAATGGGTGCTCCCCGTGGCACCCAGCCCCTCTCGTTGTCTCCCAAAGGTGCTCCCGGCCTCGGCAGACCC